CGCTCTGTTCTTTATAAGTTTAGTTAGGCTATATTTATCACATAAATAAACAAAGTATCTTTTAAAGACAATCAGAAACTCCCTTCTCTAAAGAAATGCTGTTTCAGTCACATTTAGTGCACAGTCAGACATTTGGCTTAGCTTGCAATCACGGCAAATTCCCCTTTGCCAGTCAATAAAACAGGCGGGTTAGAAACTCGCTAATAAACACTGCACAAGAACAAAAAAGAAGCACTCTTAATCTCTTCCCTCAGCTGCTCATTTCCGTACATGCATATCAGCGTTTTTACACTTACACCAAATGATACCGTTAACAATGATCCCCTTCTCAAAACAATCGGAGGAACAGGAAGACACGTTCCGCGTTACAGGGCAAGACATGGAAACGACCGCAGCCACCCCTGGGATGTCACTGTCGAGTGCTACCACAGTAAAAGCGATCCGAGGGGCAGTCAGCTGGCCGGCTGTGTGCATTCCGCTGCTGCAAGGACACGCATCTAACCAGCGCAAATGGTCACTTATCTCTGTAAATGAATTGCGACTACATATTCTCGCATACTGTAAATGATACTCGTTATTTTGTGTGTAACTCAAAATAAACATCAGCCTATGTATCTTTTTGAGTCTTACACAAATACAGAATGAACAAGGGTCCCCCCCCCCCAAACAGGCTGGCCTGTTGCTGTTGTTTAGAAATTCCAAATAGCCCCTAGGGTTTAAAACACTGTTGCAGGCTTTCCAATTTCTCATTTCTGAAATTGACTCGGTGTCAATAGTGTGCTAGACACCTCGTTACGAGGTACAATTATAACCAAAAAGGTGATGTCACTCCTGCAATTTTCAAACAAGATACAGGTGATGTGATCCACAAGCTTAACATGGTAGAACGTCAAAAACTGAAAATTCAATCACCACAACAGTTCTGAATAAAGACTTTGAAAAGAGGCTTTATTCAAAACCTTCATTCACCCTTCACCAGAAGGCCTCTTCTTCCTGCCAAGGGTGTTGCAATCCAGAATCCATGCAGGAATATAGGGTGCAAGAAGGGGAAATACCAGTGCATAGCAGGACACATACTCACTCCCACGCGGGGATCGTTTAAAGACACCCGTGGACACATACAGCTTGTCTATGGGAAGCAGGAGGAAACCAGACCCCTGGCATGAACCCACTTTAACACAGGAAGAACTTGTAAACCCCCATCCCAGAATCAAACCCAGGATCTAACATTCAGCGGTGCTTCTTGTCATGCCAGCTTTGGATACAACTATAACTATTCATTCAATAAAATTATCATAAGACTGCAAATAGCCAAAGTTCATGAAGACGGATGGGTTTTTGCAGTTTTCAGTGACCGTCCTGAATGTATTCATTTTAGAATGCTTGGACGTAGAAGATGTTTTTTTTCAGAAAGCCATTCTAATGACACGTGTGGAAAAGCAAAAAAAATATCCATCATTGCCCTCTAGTCTGAATTTATCTGGATCTGTATGGTTGGCTACTGAACCGGTTTAGGGATTGAAATCAATTGCTACATTCACCTTCAAGGTTCAAGACAAGACCTGCCTGGCTGAAGACTTAACTGAAGTATATCAAGTGTAAAAAGAATTTAAAAGCTTCAAGGTAAAAAAAAACCAATTATTGAAGAGTCAGTTTTTGCTTTAAATGACTGTGCTTAGGGGCAGCACGTTGGTGCAGTGGTTAGTGCCTGGGCACTGGGTTCAACTCCAGACCCATGGTGCTATCTGCGTGCAGTCTGCATGTTCTCCCTATGTTCACGTGGGTTTCCTCTGTGTGCTTCAGCTTCTTCCCACAGGCCCTGGTGTGAGTGTGCGTGTTTGGGTCTGTGTTTGCCCCGTGTTGGACTGGCGTCATGTCCAGTGCGTGTCCTGCCCTGTGCCTGGTGCCTGCTGGGATAGGCTCCGGCCCTTCTGCGACTCTGAACCGGATGAAGAGGTTAGGAAACGGATGGATGTTTCCGTTTGGAAAGACGCGTCCTACTGGGGACTTTAAGAAATGCGAGATGGGCCGGAGTGGAGCTCTGACCCAGTTTACATCACTTCGCCCTTTGCCCTATATCTGTCCTGAGATAGTAACAAGAGAAAGCACAATTCTCTCCTCTGAATAAAAAGGGTAACCATGACTTGGCAATACCAAACAGGAACTTCAAGTGTAAGGAGGTGCCCTGTGTCACTTGCTGGGAGTTGCATTCTTCTGCAATTTTGTAATAATCATTTTAGGTTATCGTACAATACATAAAAATAGGGGTAAACCTTCACAGTCATCTGTGGTATTTTTTTCTTTTTCTTCCATACTTAGTATAGTAAAAGCATTTCCATTGTCCATCTTTTTTGTTTACCTTTATCATGTAGCAGCCTAGACGTTCCTAATTATAGGTAACTTTTCTGGTGCCTGGGTACAAAAACAGCCTTCATCTACTGGAACACAAATGTCTACAGCCTTTATATAGGTTCACATAAGGGTTAGACAGAATTATCAGTAATAACACAGCTCAACACTGCTCACAGACATCTATGTGAGGGTGTTACAGGGGATGGCTTACTCTTTATAATGGGTAAACATCTTCAAAGCAACAAAAATGTCAAGAACTGTATACCACAGGAAAAAAAAACACTGAACCCTCACTGTTCTGTAAGCAACTACAATACGAACCGTCACACCAAGCAAATGTCCTCGAGTTATTTTTCTTTAATCCTAGGTTACAGTTTAGAATTCCAAATAACAGCTGAAAATAGAAAACGGCAATCCATTAACTACTTCTTAGTAAAAAAAACATGTACTACTTTGAATGTCTAATGCCTGCAAGTTTTCTTCCATGTGGAATTGTGCAAGAATTGTCTCTGAGACATAAATATATCTTATCATATGGTCTGTACGTATCTATTCCTGCTCTTCCCTGTTAGTTTAGCAAGACCTAACTTTTTTAAAAGTTGACTCTGTTACAGAACACTCCTCTGGTTTCATTCAAATTATTGTCTCCATAACTTTACATAAGAAAGGAGTAAGAATTACAGTTTTATAATTAGGTTGGTTTGGTTTTGTCACCATTTTTGGGTGGAATTTTGTATCTGGGAATAACATAATACAAATGGGAAACAACACTACATAAATCAATGTATGCATTCTATGTTGCTTTCTCTAGCAACTGAAAATAGTTCAAAAGCACTTGCTAAAGAAGCCAGGAGGATTCAAAAACAACCCATTTTATATTCTAAAAATACACCATAAAATGAGTCATTTTTTGGCATTCTGATCATAGGTCTTCAACAGAAAAAAGGCTCTAACTATAATTGAGGGTTAAGAAAGCTGCCACCAACACTGACACATCTAACATTACTTGATTGCAATATATACTTTTGGACTATGAAAAATGAAATCCATTATATTTTCATTTTATTCTCCTATTTGTGGTTTGCAGTGGTTGTGCTGTCTGTTTTGATGAATCAGCAAATGCTTTTTTGTGCATAATGAAAGACATTTGGGGTTTGCACAACTAGATGTACACTCATGTGCATGGAACAGTGACTCCTTTTATTTAAAAAAATTGAAGCAGCTTTGAGGGAAATTTCCAAGGATTTATCTAAACCGTAAGCAACGTTTAGGCAGTGCAGAACTTTCTGAAGCAGGCACATGCTGTATTCAGGAATGAGTCTGTGGCTCTCAGCGTTGTCATCACTGTTAGCTGAGGAAATCAGGCAGCATCAATAAGGGGGTGACAAGTCAGGTAATGACAATCATCAACAGTCACGATTGTGGAAAGGAGAGGGACCCACTACAACAACACAGGGCTTGTCAGTTGAATATCAGTATGCCAGTGTCACATGAAAAAATAATGATCGTGCCTGACAGCTGTTACTAATGGAAGCAAGGATTGGAGAAATCCGGCTTCTTTTCCTCCTCATGACTCTTTTGTTGAGCCATTCCAACTGTGGTGTTGTATTGATTAAAACCAATTATTAACGAGCTGTGAGCAGCTCTGGTATAGCTTGGTCTGATGGGTGGAACTGCACACACAGCAGAGTAACACTGCTTATATAACAGGACAGCCGGATCAGCGCAGGATACTTGGCCGCGTTCTTTGTTCTATATATCGCTATGGCAGGCAGAGACAGCAGTCATTGCAACATCCAAACGAGTTGGCATCGATGCCCCCCGGCTAGGTTACCCTGAACACCTCAGCTCGTTACACGATTTATAATGCATCATCAGCCGAAAGTATCACCTTCCTACACATAACGCAATCTGACAAAAATGGCCGAAGTCTCCACCGAGGGTTTCCCATTGTCCTTAACACCTAATCAGCAATTAAGCGCTTAGACAAGCGAGACTGATGAAACGCTGTGCGCACTAGGGGGCACGGATACGGGTACTGAGTTATATTTCATGTCAATACGAACTCCCCGGCATATTGTGTGTGCCCGTTTTTAGACACCTTTTCATTAACCGTATCAACATATCTTACTATTGTGAGGTCTTCATGCTGTCAGTCTTGATCCTAATCAAGCTGATTACAGCTTTCCAGAACAGTGAGCTTTATGCTCCCAGTCACTCTGTAAATCCGTGTGCATAACGCAGGTGGATTCCACGGATTGTTTTGGGGGGTTTTATCGGTTGGGGGGTTAACTAAAGATATCAATTTGGGAGGCAAATAACAATACGAAGAGTTGTGTATTTTAGGTACTTTTGTGTCGCATGCTAACCATCGTGATTCTTGTTTGAAGTGCTTGCCGTCTTACGTGAGGTGCCCAACCTGTGCCATTTTAAAACGCTGTCTCTCCAAAAATGCACTTTTTTTTTTTTACTGTGGTCCACCATCACGGTCGCATTCGGTATCGAAATACCAAAGAAATGTAATGCACTTAGCCCGGGCGTGTAAGATTACTAAAAACAATGTATCGTTAATATAAATGGAAGAAAGGCGCAACGCGCTACTTAGGCTTGTAGCTGAGGCTTAATTCAAGTTACATACTGTATCTTACCTTGGTAACCACATTTTGCACGAGTCCCGTATGCATCTGGTATTTCCACTCGCTGCACATGCATTGCGTGTCGTTGTTATCGCCGTGATTGTCACTGCCGCGAGAAGGCTCTGCTAGCGAGCTGGCGTTTGTAATGTTCACGGGCGACAACGAACTCGCCGTCCAGTTCCACGCGTTGACGGCCGGGTGGGTCACACAGGTGCTAATTGGCTGAGCTAGAAGGAAATAGTCAGAGAACTGGCTGAATCCGATAAATAGCACGGGAATCCAGGTCAGGACGACGAGCTCTTTCTGGTATTTCCCAAAGCCCCCGAGAAAGGGCCAAACAGAACCGTCAATATCCCACAGCAACCGCGGGGCAGCCGTTTCGGACGCCACGAAGCCGTTGTTTTCGGGTGGGTGATCCTCCGTCTCCAGCCGGACCACAGCCATCGTTATTGAATATTCAGAGAGAGACTCTGTGGCACTGGCGACCCTGCCTGTTGTCGTCTGCACGGTGCGTCAATGCCTCGTTACAAAAGAAACCCCCTACGCAGTGAAAGACACGAATTAGGCTTCGCAAAAAAAATCATACAAAAAAAAAATACCCGATCCCTCCGAAAAACAAACGGGAAAGAACGTGCTCGGGGGTTTCACCTTTCCCCTTCAAAGTGATCTTTAAAAAACACCCTTTCTTGTCAACAGCTGGTCGACCGAAGCGAGCCGGCAGAGAAACTCCCAATGAGGCTCGGCAAAGGAGAAGTAATACCCTCTGTCCTCCTGAGCGCCGGCGTTGTTTTCCATTTGGCTAAAACCCTGGCGAGCAATTCCGACAAACAGGTCGGTAAACTGTTCCGGAAAGAGTCCAAAAGCGACACTACTAACCCTGCCCCTTCCCTGCGGGAGCTACAGGTAACACACCTGTGTAAACTCAGACCTCTTGGCATAACAGGCATAGTTCTGCGTAATCGCAGCGCATACCATCGCATCCGGAATCCTGTGGATTATTACCAGGAAGGAAATTAAAAAAAAGACTTCTATTTCTTACGCTGCGGGCTGGCGTGCTCGCCGACCACCCGGCTATATTGCTCCCCCGTGGCGTGGAGAAGTCACGAGCAGCGTGCGCGCCTGTGTCTGTCAAGCTGACACCGCGCTGCGAAAGAGCCGCATCCTGGCAGACGTCCGCCCCCGGAGCCCAGCCTGCCGGCTATGATTGGAGAAGCCAGCCCGGCTCCTGGGTCCTGCCGGCACACAATTGGGCATTGGACCGCAGGAAGGCAACAAAGACCCCCTTTGTTCTCTTTCTTTTTATTGTTCCCCTCCAAATGATGCGATACAGGGGGCGAGAGCGAAGCGCGGAACTCCGCGTCAGTCCCGACGTGTCGCCCCCCGCGCTAACGCGGCCCCTCGTCCTGAATATTTGTTCTTTTCCCGGAGACGCTTCCCGAGGAGAAGGGAGCCGGGAAGTCAAAATGACGTAGGCGGTAAAATTAGCCTTGCTTGGGTTTCACCATGCTTCCTAATTCGGCCCCAGATAATGACAGCAGAACCTAAGGGGGGATTAAAGTCGGATTCAAAACGTCTGCGTTTATTGGTGGTCTGTAGTGTCACCTCTTTTCACCCTTTTTCGAATACAGCTCTTGAACAGTTAAAACTGGAGGCAGCTGTGGTGCAGTATCATTTATATTATCATGCTGTAGCCCTTTCCCTAACCATGCCTATCATATACTTCTACCGAAACTGTCGAGCAGAGAGAGAGGTTAAATATTTACAGTTCAGACGCCGCAATGTGCGCAGCGCCGTCTACAGCTGAACCCGTCAAGTTCGCATGCCGGCGGTGGAAAGCTTTCTAAAACGCCAGTTTTCCTGCTCGCAGGTACACACACAGAGCTATTCATCGTGTTCGTGCTTAATACAGACACGGCTTTAATCAGTAAGAACGGAGTGTACGGACGCTACACGAGCTGCCTCGCTAGTTTTAACCAGCCGGTGTGGGGTAGTGGCGCTGGTGATTTTGTTGAACTAATAAAATAAAATAATGGAACTGGCGAGTTCAGTTTCAGCGGCTTGTGGGTAAGGACGTTTGTCATCTTCGTGTTACTGATGTGGTTGAAACCGATACCTGATCTTCTTTTTGAGCAACTGCTGCAGATCCTTGGATTAGCTTCTAACTACCCAAACCAACATATTATACGGTGTCTTATTTTATAGCAGTGTATAATGTATCTATTAAATCACATTGACACCCCCACCCCCACATCTTTTTATATAGGGTGTCAGTTCGTGCCAATTTCTGGAATTTCTAAAACGATTAGAGTTATAAATGGAAATCTTCCAACATCCAAAAACACAACTGATTGTTTGGTTCATTATTTAGTTGATGGGTCTAAATATATTTCATGACAGTAATAATTTATTCTTTAAAAGAGAAGGCAGATCGAATGCCAAACACAAATAGCTGCGTTTTAGTAGTCTCTTTTTTGTTTTTAATCATTCTGAAAAAGCTGGAAGGGCCATCTTATAGTTTTAGTAGTCACGCGAATTCTGCTTAAGACACTATTTAAAAGATTTTCTTTTTTGCTATCTGAAAAACAGACAGAATTACAAAACGTGCACTTTTTCCGATGGCTAAATATGAAGTCTCCTGACCCGTTTTATTTGCAACCCTCAATAAAAGAAAACACGCAGTGTGTATACGTACAATTTTTTTTCTGCCGTGTAGCTCAAGCAAAACAGTGACACGATCCGCATTGAAACTCTTGTTTTTGACGTTAACCTGGCTTTTTTTTCTAGGACGGGGTTGTTGCAGTTGTGTTGTTTCCTTCCTTAAAAGGCTTAAAATACTTTTTTTTTTACCAGTTAAATTTCTTCTTTGAGATGTGAAAGCGCCTGTTATACAATCTTCCCAATGACCATAGAGGGACTTTGGAGCGACCTATTTTTCCTTAAGAGGTACCGATCAAGCTCGGCATCCTCTAGTATCTGTGATCTGGCGAGGTCCGGATACGGGGGGCCAAATATGGTACTTTTGTGGAAACTGTCAGCAGATGTTCATCTTTCCGTCTGTTTGAGCTTTTGTTTTTAAAGGAAACGGTAATAATGACGATTCCATGTTACTTCAACTTTGCTTTGGCCTGTTATATTTGCGATTCACTCTTGCTGTGGGGATTTAATCATACTGTACACGTAAAGACAGGAAGACTTTAGCTTTTCTATTGTACAGTTTACAGCAAGAACAGAACTATGAAAAGCTGATTGAAAGGCTCTCACGATTAAACAATCTCTTTATTAGTAAAGCATGGCGTGTTTTTTTTTCATACAGCCTTTGCCTCCACCTGTTGTCTAATTTGTAGTACTGCAGACAGAGAAAAAACGTGTTGTTTTGGACATGTATTGATTATTTCTACTGTGTGCGGTTGTTTAGAATGCAGCAGGTTTCATGAAAGGTAAAGACGTGTTGCCCGGCTTCAGATAATATCAAGAAACGTTGTTTTTTCATAACATTTTTAAGGACCGAGTATATGGCACATTTTAGACCTGGAACTTCGTCAAATTTCCGGTACGCAAAAGCAAGTACACCCCATTGACAGCTGGCAGCGTTTTATTTTGGTCTCTAATATGGCATAGGGTGACCAGACGTCCTCTTTTTCCAGGACATGTCCTCTTTTTGAGACCTACATTATGAGTCCGACCGGGATTTATAAAATTCCAAGAAGTGTCCGGTATTTTGTTTTGCTCGTTACGCAGACTGTGTAAACAAACAGAGGCCTACATATTTTCGTTCGTTTCATGCATTACCGGTAGATGTTTTGAACTTGCAAGCAGCGTAGCTTGAAAAGTTTGTGTGTGTGGCTGTTTTTATGGCCATGAGAATTAACAATGTTTAACTTGTTTGATTATATTTCAAAATATTTCGTTAAAATTCTGAATTTTTGCAACCAATGAGAACTTCTCCTAAGTTATAATTTTAATGTCTTAATTTTTCCTCAGATGTTAAGACTTTTGTTGTGTTAAGATGAAAAAAAACTTTAAAATAGAGCTATATTTTTTATTTTTCCTTTTTTGCCATTACAGAAGAGAAATAGCAACCCTGCAACTGTTAAAGGTTTACTAAGAAGTTTAATAAAAAGTAGAGAGTTTAAAATGATTTTTGATTAGAAATAAAGATTCATTACTTTGGAGGCATGTGTCGAGTATCGATCCCCCCATGCTCTTTTTTGAAAACCAAACTATGGTCGCCCTATAATAAGCAATTCAGATTTAATGAAGATTAAATAAAAGTATCTATTCAAGGTAGTTTGAAATATTGCTTTAAATAAACTGCTATGTGCTTTGAATCTTCAAAAAAAAGAAAAAAGAAAACTTATTCAATTGCAAAGAAAAAAGAAAACTTATTCAATTGCAAATTACAACCTAGAACGCAGAGGCATCTTTCCTGAAGTTTCCATTGCCTTTCAACAATAAGCCTCTAGCAAGCAACAATGTGTCATCTATTTTGCGTTTTAATTTGCGACTGATTAGACTTAGTCCAGGCCCTAGCACATTTTAAGAACCAGTATGATTTCTTCCTGGCATTGGAGAAAGACATTTCTCGGGTTCTTCCTCTTAACTGAAATCCAGAAAAGTGAAGCCTTCAGTTCTGTTACTATGGTCCCAAGCTGCCTCTGTGTATTCACACTGTTAGACACACTGTTAGACATTAGTTCACACTGTATGTATTGTTAATCTGTCATTATGCGGACCGGTGAAAGTAAATTTTCAAATCTGCACCGTGTGAAAGCTTTTTCAAGAAGGTGACAAAACCGTGACACTGGTTTTTTAAAAGATATTTTTCAATCCGTGATCCCAGTACTTCAGTACAGATAGTACAAATCGTCACCGTGTGTAGAGTGAAGTATCCGGACGCGATGAAGTGCGCCTGCCGTGGGAGTGGAGTGCTCCCCCTAGTGGACAGAAGGAGACATTTCAGGTAATAGTTCTAGTGCAGAGCTGATGTGATGCTTTTAGCTTTTCGTGACAGTGGTCATTTTTATGCTTGTAGTGCTGTACACCACGGCTTACTTCACTATATTGCTTGCTCCTTGTACTCTGGATAGATGTTAACTTAAATCAGAAGGTTGCAAGACTGTACCAAACTGAAACTGTACTAGAACAGATTATAAAGCTCAAGTAACTGAAAGACAGTAACTGTTTTTAACAATGAAGGGTGTAAATACACTAAGAATTCTATCAGTTTCTTAAAAGTATTTTAATACGTTTTGTGACCTGTAAGAAGTAGCATTTAGCAGAGCCCTGTTTTATATTCTAAAAAGAACAAAGAGACCTTTCTAAGCTCATTTTTTCAGCGGCCTTGAGTAACAGTCTAGTTGTAAGCATGGCCTCGCTGTAATGTCTCTTTCAAGGTCAACAAACAAATGAGTAAAAAGATGTTTTTCCACTAACGTGACCCTGTCAAGATGTACCTACCAAATCTCCTGGACTTTACAAAAACAAACAATAGTCATTAATAATATTTGCCCCAGTAGTGCTTTCATGTCATTTTCAATTACAAATTAGTAACTAGTAAACTAGAAAGTAGAACTTTGGATCGGGCATTTATCAGATGTTCTGCTTTACAATGTCAATGTTAATACACACTTTGTGAAACAGCACTGTGTAACCTGGATCGCAGCATAATTGCATTAGGCTGCTGAGAAGAAACCTTAGCCAGTGGATTTTAGACGCGATTAGTTGCATAAAAGTACACCAAGGATTACCAGTATTGTTAAATATGGCTGAGCCTAGGCCAAGTCATCCCGATGGATTTCTTCAGAATAAACGAGCCTCCAGCAGGAACTATGTGAAAGTGCAGTTAAAAAGCTGGGATCAGGAGGCACTTCTTAACCCAAGGGGTTCTGGGAGCGTAGAGCAAGCTATCCAGCCATACTGTTGAAGCATGAAAACAAACAGGTGGACAAGAGTCTCGGATCAATTAACTACTAACTCCCAAATAGGCAGCAGTTAAAATTGGCAGCAGACTACCTCCCACCTCTCAGGGCCCAAGACTGACTCTGCACTGAATCGCTGTCTGGATGGGTTTGTAAGTGTGCATGGCTGTGTGGGTTTTCTCCAAGTGCTCCTGTTTTCTCTCAGTGCTCCCCGCTATTGAACTGGGAGTGCAGCTCTCCACCAGTGGCCTTCAGAGCACCGTGCCTGCAAACCCCTGTCCCCCGCTGGCTTGCTG